ACGCCTGCCGCCTCCTCCGCCTCCTCCGCCTCCACCGCCGCCGCTGCTAAGCCTGCCGCCTCCTCCGCCTCCTCCGGCCTCCTCCGCCGCCGCTGCTACGCCTGCCGCCTCCTCCGCCTCCTCCGCCTCCACCGCCGCTGCTACGCCTGCCGCCTCCTCCGCCTCCTCCGCCTCCACCGCCGCTGCTACGCCTGCCGCCTCCTCCGCCTCCTCCGCCTCCTCCGCCGCCGCTGCTACGCCTGCCGCCTCCTCCGCCTCCTCCGCCTCCTCCGCCTCCTCCGCCTCCTCCTCCTCCTCCGGGGCGTCGCCCGACGGCTTCTGCGCGCCCCAGCGCAGGTAGTGGAGCCCCTTGATGCGGAGCACCGCCGCCGGGAGCCGCCGCAGCCGGTTGTGCTGCAGGTTGAGCACCTGTTCACGGCTCGAGGTGTGAAGAGACGCTGTTCACAGCAGCCGGTTGTGCTGCAGGTTGAGCACCTGTTCACGGCTCGAGGTGTGAAGAGACGCTGTTCACAGCAGCCGGTTGTGCTGCAGGTTGAGCACCTGTTCACGGCTCGAGGTGTGAAGAGACGCTGTTCACAGCAGCCGGTTGTGCTGCAGGTTGAGCACCTGTTCACGGCTCGAGGTGTGAAGAGACGCTGTTCACAGCAGCCGGTTGTGCTGCAGGTTGAGCACGTGTAGCTGCGGCAACGCACCGACCCACGCCGGCAGCGAGCGAAGCTCGTTGCACGCGAGCAACAGCTCCTGCAGCCGAGATTACCCGAGATTACCCGAGATTACCCGAGATTACCCGAGATTAGCGAGCAGCAGCTCCTGCAGCCGACGTAGGCGGCAGAGGGCCTCCGGCAAGTCAGAGAGCCTACGCGTAAATATACAGCAGCATGAGAGCGGGAATACGGTCTTGTGCAGTGTGTTCAGAGCACCGCGTGAGTACGACGGAGAGGAGTACGGTGCGCACAACGGAACACGCCCGAATACGGCTGAATACGTGTCCGCTCGGGCGCTAGTTGGGAGACACGAGTCCGTCTTCCGCTTCTAGGTCGGAGAGCAGATCTCGCTCGCGTCGAGATATGGGGAGAGACGGGGAGATATGGGGAGATACTCCGCATCTAGGCCTCGAGATATGGGGGAGAGACGGGGAGATATGGGGAGATACTCCGCATCTAGGGGCGAGGGCCTCAGCCTTGAGGAGAAGCTGCGAACGGTCGGCCGCTGCGGCGACGAGAACCTGCACGCAACGCCGCCGCACGGCGGGGTGGACAAGACCGTCGGGCGGGGATGCAGCGGCGAGGAGACGTCGAGCGCGTCGTCGAGCGCATCGAGCATCTCCGCGTAGTCGGCAACGGTGCCGCCGAGCGTCGCGCCGTCGGACGGCCATCCGCGCGCGAGCAGCGGCGCCGCCGCCCGCTTGCCAGGCTCGCCGCCGCCTCCGCCTCCGCCTCCGCCTCCGCCTCCGCCTCCGCCTCCGCCTCCGCCTCCGCCGCCGCCGCCGCCTCCGCCGCCGCCGCCGCCGCCGCCGCCGCCGCCTTCGGACTGCAGCCGCACCGCACGTAGATCGACGGGCTTGAGCCGGCGGCATGCGGCGTCGCAAGACGCGGTCCAGCCGCGCAGCGGCGATCCGTTGTCCTCGCCGGGATCGAGGAGCAGCCACGCGCTCTCCGCAGCCGCCGGCGAAACGACCGCCGGCCGCTCACCCCGCTATGGGAAGAGGCGCGGGCGGCGTCGGACGCGATCCGAGTGGCCGGTGGCACGGTGAGGGCCGGGCGATGGGCGGCAGTGCCCCCAGGGCAGCGGCGGCGCCTGCCCAGGCCGAGCGGCAGCCGGCGGGCGTCGGCCCCTGTCCTCGGCGCGGCCCGAGCGGCCCCGGGCGCCTGTGCGCCGAAGCCACCCGCCCGCGGTCCGGGGGCACGTGGGGTCGGGGGAAACCGAACCCACCCCGCCTTCCAGCGGGCGGCCCGAACCAGGCAAGCATTTTTGGCAGCCCGGCCCAGAAGAGGTCGGCTTCCGAACGCGGAAAGAAGAAATTCCCGGCCCCCCAAAAAATTCG